AATTTCGAGTTTAATTGTGTTTATTTGGAGAGTTTATAGTTTATTTGGTTTCTGTTGGAAAATATACGTTGTAGGCCATTTTATTCAAAAATACAAATAATAAAAGCTTTGTTCCAACCCAGCAGGAAACTGTAATATTACCGTCAGGATTCTGCGCAAAACCTAAAATTTTTGCGCAGAAACCGAATTTTATATTCAGAGTGGTTCCGAAACCGTTCTGGGACGATTTTTTGGCAGGTTGGAACAAACCAAACGTATTGACATGATCTGACGTCGCCTGTACATGAGCACCCGGAGATTCTAAAATCACGATTCCACTCACGACTCGACAACGAGACGCAACTTGATACCGGCCCCCGGTATGATTCCAACGTAGGATCGTCGGAAATAATCGTCTTGATGTCGAGTCGTGTGTCGAATCGTGATTTTAGAATCTCCGGGCAGATGCAATTCATGTCTCACTTTAATTTAAGAAGTTCAAAGTTGGTGAACTAGTTTAAATTCTTGTTGATGAGTCTTAAGTTTTTTTTTATGAACGCATATCATAACCTCAACTATTTAAGTTGAGTGTTAATTTTTTTTTGTTAATTTTTTTTATAAACCCACCATAAGTCCAAGAAGTGAGAGTTCGAGAAACAATTTTCGCACTAGTCCACAAAATTTTAAAATGCCATGCTTGTTTTTGTTCTGTTTTTTTTTAACTTTTATTCACTTTCTTAAAGAAAAGAAAATTTATTTGTATGTTTGTTTATCGTAATCGTAATCGCATTAATCGTTCGATTATTTAACTGAATAATTGTGGTAACCGTAGCCGCTTTCCAGTGACGAATTTTAAGGTGCTCCACAGCCGAAGCTTCACACTCTGGTACTTCAAACAACTGTTGTTTCACTGGAGCGCACCCCACTTCAAGGCCCAAGCGTCGTGTTGTTGCATCAATAAAATTGCAGGGTTTTGAGAGGGCAGGGGAGAGGAAAAGCGAAGAGTTCAGTTGCGCGAAACTCTAATCTACTGGAACGCCTATAACCAGCCCGGAGCGTTCTAGAGCAGCTCAGGAGTGCTTGAAGTGCGTCACTGGAAAGCGACTTGTGATTGTAATCGTAACATTAATCATTAGGCAATTTTTCGCGAGGATAATCAAGCATAATCGATTATGCTGGTTATGTGATGTGTCAATTGCGTCATACTCTCATAACTCCCCCTCCATCAAATTCTGGGATACTTGAGGATCAAGAACACTTATTTAATTTCTTCTGCGAGAACAGACCGAAAATTACCTTTTCTACATTTGAAATCGACGAAAAAATTAACGCATAGCACAGCCTGAATCGTGAGCATTCCATCGCGGTCTGCGGGTGAAGTTATGACTATAAGCTGCTGACGTCATTCGCAGTCCCAAAATTTGATGATGAGGGAGTTAGGGGAGTATGACACAATTGACACATCACATAACCCATCAATCAGAATAATCAATAATCAGATTATTCAGATTATGCTTGATTATCCTCGCGAAAAATTGCCTATTAATAATTTCATTACCATTACCTATAATTATAAAATCTCCATAATTTTCAATTAAAATAAATAAATAGGTATCTTATCTACCTCTCAATAGCGAGTCACCTCCGGTACAGATCAATAGAGAGACAATTATAATTTCAATTTAACAAGTACATGGTGTGAAGTTATAAAGTACCACCCTCTGTAACTTTTTTATTTTTGATCGTACATAAAAAAGTTAAAGGGGGTGGTACTTTATAACTTGACACCCCGTAAACGGTACACTCCTATAATTCGACATTCCAAAATATTTTATTTGGATCACTGAATTTCAGGGATAGGCAAATACACTTTTAAAGCAGGTCTCGATAGGTATATAATTTGGCACATTTTTAGCTTCCCTAATTCCCGTAGCCCGGTGAAATAACAAGAAACTCAGATCTTGAAGACTAGCTGAAGGATTAGGTTCCAAAAATATTGTCTGAAAAATTCAGGACAATATTCAGCGTTATTGAGAATGATTATTATCAGTACCTATTTGAATTATTGATAAGTTGAAATCGAAATGACAAAAAAAATTATTGTCTTTCGACTCTTTCGATTGGTTCAGAAAAAAAAAATCCACCAGCTTCTTGCCTTTCTGAATATCGCGAGTTGTGTGTCTATTTGGTGGCGGTGCTACAGTTGTCGCTCCTAAGGGTCTAATGAAAAACTGCTTACAATAGGATGACCATATTTTTTTTTTCATGAATGCTGTACACTTCTAAAGTTTTGGGACAAGTGATTGGAGATTTATTGCGAAGAAAACACTATAAAAAAAAAAAAAAACGGTGCCACGCCCAATAAAGGTTTTTTTGGGCAAATTTTGTCGACTTTATAGCTCGTTTTAGTACCATTTTTTGAAAAAAAATTGGATGATAATAGAAAACACACAATGACCTGGAACACATAACTCCTCAGCCAAAAATAAAAATTCTCAGTTACAAGACATGCGACAAACAAAGTAAGAAAATGCATTTGCAGAAAAAAAAAATTTAGAGATGTGGCGTTAGTTATCGACGGACAATTTTTCGTACAATTTTTAAGAGAAACTTATATGATGCGAATCGCTGTACGTTTGCTGTACAAAATCAAATGCTGGACAGACTCTCAAAATGCTGTACAATACAGCGAAATGCTGTACGTATGGTCACCCTAAAGGCTTACAAAATACGTAATATCTATTATTTCCCAGCTTTCACTTCCATATTACAGAAAACATGCAACATGAACTCTTCAATACCCATTTTTCCTATTTTAGCTCAAATAGGTACTGACTTTTACTCTTTACAAAAATTTGAACTCCGCTAAGATTTTTTAATTAAAAAAGCAGTTTTTGTAAGCCAATTACAAAAAAGTCATTTTAGAATTGGGAGGCAGAAACTTGATACTAAAATGATGAATTCTGATTTTTTCCAATAAAATATCTATACCCGAATTATTGAAATTGCATTTGATAAACGACGCAGCATTGAAAGTTGGTTACCTCCACTGCCACAACTCAAATTTAATGTTTCAAACAAGTGAAAAAAAAAGATAAGAAAGTGGTTAATCCAGGTTTGGTAGCTACAGGGTTAGTCACCATATTTCGACACCCACCTGCTGCCATAATTACAGGTGATACCTATGTAAAAGGTGTAAATGCGAAAGTTGTAGCATTTTATCTGAACCGACAAGAATTTTAAATTAGACTGAACAAATTAGTAACCCAAAGTAAAAAAAAATGTCGATGTTCACTTTTTTCAAATGGAATGCCCTCTATTTTCTTTCAAATTCTTAAAGTTCTTGTTTTTCTGATTTAAAATGTATACAGTAGAGTCCGCGTCAAGAGTAAAGAGGACGGTGACGTCAAATGCGTACAAACCCAATTTTGAAGACTAACCGAACTATAGTATTGTTCGGTGCTGCTGCCGAACGCCAAGCACGTGGTTCATTGTCGTACGGCCAGCAGGCATATTTATTTAGTTTATTTTCTATCCAAGTTTTGTCTAAAAAGATACCCCGCTGCTGGTTTCAGCTCACGGCCGAGGTCACGACAGACAGCGAGAGATAGACGAGGGTGAGAGATCCGACCAGCTTCGCGCAGCTTTCCGTGTCGTCACCGTACTCTTTACTGCTGACGCGGACCTTAGTGTGGCTACCTATTTAAGTGTGCAACATATGGGATTTTTTTTAGTAATAGCACAACCAAAATGTAAACAAGGCCAAAAGTTGGTGCATGTCTGATAATCATATTAGGTGCACTTAGAATGGTAGTAAGTCAAACAACATACAGGGTAGCTCAAAAAATATCAAAATTGTACTGTAAAGTACCCTTATTTTAGAAAATTCAGCAAAATGTTATTGAGAAAAGTTGTTTGGAATTAAGAGTTATGCCTAAATACCAATAACATGGTTTGCTAAGATTTTTTTTAATTTTTTTCGAAAATCATTAATAGTTTCCATATTATTTTTATTTTTTATTTCCGCCCTTGCTACTTTCGAAAATTAATTAAAATCAAATCAATTTTACATAGCTTTGTTCAAATTTAATCATATTTACAAAATTAACTTAGATTTTTATTTTTTTATGGAATCACAAAGTTCATGTTTGTTGCAATGATATTCAACTCAACTTTAAAATGTCGCAATTTTTTTTTTTTAACATGTTAAAACATTAATAATGATTAGGTATATGCATATTAAAAAAAACTCTCCTTATAACTCTCCCATTTTGCTGAATTTTCTAAAATAAGGATACTTTACACTTTTACAGTAGGTACAATTTTGATATTATTTGATCTACCCTGTATGCTGTTTAACTTGCAACCATTCTAAGTGCACCTAATATGATTATCAGACATGCATCGACTTTTGGCCTTGTTTGTATTTGGGTTGTGCTATTACTAAAAAAATATACCATATGTTGCACACTTAAATAACCACACTGGTGTATAATAATATGTTAATGTTTCTTTCAACAGTTTTGGAAATATCTGGAGTTTCGTTATTCAAAGACATCAGTATTTTTTTGAATATATTTTATCTTGATTTACTTACCTGTCACCTGTCACAAAACATTCTGATACCTAAATAGGTCTTTGAATAACTAAACTCCAGATATTTCCAGAACTTCAAGAATTTGAAAAAAAAATAAGTTTAAAAAAAGTGAACATCAACATGTTTTTTTTACTTTGCGTTGCTCATTAGTTCAATCTAATTAAAAATTCTGGCGTTTCAGATAAAATGCAACAACTTTTGTATTTTACACGTTTTACCTATGCACTGTAATTACGGCTGCAGGTGGATGTCATAATATAGTAACTCCCCTGTACCTTTACCTCTAAGGTCGCGCTGTATCAATCAAAAATAATTTAACAAAGCTGCACAAAGCATCCCTTCTACTTGGATTTATTAGTATAATAATTAACAACATACATTTTAAGAAAACATTTATTAAAAATATGTTCCAATGATAGCTGTAAAAAGGTGCCAACATATGAGATTAAACTGAAGATTACAGTCGATAAATATATATAAAAACAACAACATGGAATAGATCTTAATTATCCGCACCTTCCTAAATATTATATTGGTGAGGTTATTGAAGCACACAGGTGCATGCCTTTATATTATTTATTTTAATTCTTATAAGATAATTGACCATTCTTGGCAAACGCTATAGAATGTATAAAAATGTTTCAGTTTTATTTGCAAACTAAATAAAGGGTGTTTTATGCTTTTTGTATCTTCACCCACAGGGTAACAACTTTTATTCATAACAATTTTAAGAGATTGGTATACATATATATGTATAAATTTATTAAGTTGGGATAAATTATGAATTATGGGTGTTTACATCTAGCTTGTGGACATCCAGTTTTTTAAAAGGTCAATTAGAAAAATTCACTAAGGTATACAAAATTTTGAGCTGTAATTACCTACTTAATACCTATAAAAATACATTTCCAAACTTAACCTCAACTAACATAAATATCTTTTTCAAAAGTCTTAATTATGTTTATTGATCACTATTCTTAAATCATTTTAGTCATTTTATTAAATAAATAAAGAGTGAAATGTCTATAAAGTCAATTAGACCTAATACTAGTATCTGTAAATTACAAAAGTAGAATACTGCATATTTATTTTTATAAAAAAAATATTCGAATTTTTTTAACTGTTTCCAAAATTTTAAATTTTGGTATAGTTCATCCAAAAGACAAGTCTCGTCTGTTTGCTAAACGATTGATGCTGGTGCTAGTTCAAAGGGAAGTCGAAGCTATGAAGCAAATTTTAATCAACTCAACCCAATTTGGGGTGTCTGGGAGTTGGTTTCAATGGTCCTACCGAACTTAACATGTTCCAGTCCATCTGCCTATTTTTGAAAACACTGTGTTAAGATGTATTGGAAAGGATACAGTTAGTTCTAGGTGATGCGTACCATTAACACACATTGTGTTTCAAGGATAAAAAGTATATCTTGGCCAGCATGAATTTACTGGTGCACTTGGGTCAAGACTCTAAACAAAAATGAATGCGAAATAATTTTTTTATGAAAATATGTGAAATTTAACAGTTTGGCTTTGCGCAACAGTAATCTGAGATAAATTATTTTCCTGTTTTTTAAAAGAAAAAACTAACATACTTTGTTTTAGCACACCCATCTGGTTTTAATTTGACTTAAATATTACGTTATGTTTATTCAAAAGCTACATTTATTCACATTTTGTGTGTATATAGTATTATTTTTAAAAAGAACAAAAAACACATCAATGCAAAGCAAAATGAATTTAACTGTTTTAGCTGCTAACACTATATAGACTAGCAATGATAATAGTCCTGGCCAATGGCCAGGTTAGAGCTGAACAAATTTTTTTATTTGTGTCACTAGGTATGTACCAAAATGTGGTCACTAAAATTTTCAATTCGTTTTTTAAGCAAAATATACATTGTAACTGAAGGCCCAAAAGAAAAAAATAAAAAGCTTATCTAACAAAAAATAGGCCATACAAAAAAGTTTACTATACACATAGATGAAATCAACTAAGAAAAAGCCATTGACAGACTGGCGAAAAAGGCATTTTTCTCTAGGTCCCTCCCATTTCAAAGTGAGACAGACGATAGCGCGTAGGTATGGTTTTTTTAGATAGTTTTATCTTTCACAAATCACCTGCACCATCAGAGAATATTATTTCTTCAGCTATAATGATGCGATCTATATAAAATCCTCTACGTCTGTGCTGTCGTTTTGTAAGAACCTTCTTCTTTCCCAAGGATCTAACGGATATATCTAAAATACCATGTTGTTGCTTTTTTGGTAGGTGTTATATCATCAACCAGGCTAACATGAGTCAGTTCGTCGGAAAAAGTTTTTCCCAGCTCTATAATGGTGCGATTCAGATCTAGCAGGTTTTCTGCTGGGAACAAACTTTGCATTCTCGATTTCTTTTTTGATAGTGGGAGCGTCAAGTGCTGGTTTTCATTTGGCATCAAATTTGCTCAAGTATTTGTTATTCTGTTGATCAAAAGCTGCATCCAGATCACATGGTTCAGAATCATCTTCAGGTTATTTTTTTTTTTTCAATACGAAACTGTTTGGTTCATATTCCAGTTTCACTGTTAAGAAATTATAATTAATTAGAAGCGTCAGTGGCTTTGAAGATGGAACAGGCAAAATATCTATTGAACAAGTTGAAGTACATAGTAACGCTGCAAATCAAAGTGATCAGGTAGCAAAAAGTTTTACAGATAAAAATCAAAAGCCTGAAGATTCTGATTCACGTGTTTACATTTATCTGAACACAAATAGTCGTAAATGTATATTGATAAGGTATACAATTTCCAAAATACCATACCCCACAATTGCTATCTCAAAAACGGTAAGGAATATGAGGTCCAATATATTAGAAAAAATTTGCAATTATTTTTACTGGCAACTCCTGACATACAGTGTTGCCAAATAATTTTTGATTTTTAAGATATTGGGAAAAAATTAAAATTGTTCGAAATATTTTTTCCTAATATCTCAAAAACTATCAACTTTGTGGGAAAATGTTCAGAGCAAAAATATTTGTGAACTCTAGCAGCATCAAAATTATAATAAATACATAACTACATAAAAGCAAATATATTTAAAAAAAAAAAACATGTAAAATTAGATGTTATATGAGCAGTCTATAGTTACTCTAAAATTAGTTATTAAGATTGCCATGAGCTTGACAACCTTAATATTACGACAAAAAGTAAATTTAGTAAAAAAAGTTTTTTCCGGGCTATACGTTTCGTCTACTGCTGCGGTAGACATTATCAGAGGCAGTCAGGTAGCGAACGAAGTGCTCTCTTCCATGTTCCTCCGATGACTGGATTAGACGTTGTTGGACCTGCGTTATTTATATCCAGAGTTGTGGGCGTGGCTTGTATTACGCTATTTTCCTTGTCTCGTTCTCGGAAAGGAAAAGTCTTTGTTTTTCAGAGAACTGACAACCAGCTTTTGTTAAGGTTCATGCCCTCTTCTTTTCTGTTGGAGTTGTTGTGATGTTTCTGAATCTCTATGGCTTCTCTGTGGAGTCTGGTGAAAAAATGTTTGGTTCCATCAGCAATTGCCGAACACGTGTTAACACAAACAAACCATGTCATTCATTTTGGACCAGAGTCAAGCATTGGATAAAACCAAACATTTTTACACCAGACTCCGCAGAGAAACCATAGAGATTCAGAAACATCACAACAACTTCAACAGAAAAGAAGAGGACATGAACCTTAACAAAAGCTGGTTGCCAGCTCTCCGCAAAACAAAGACCCTTCCTTTCCAAGAATGAGAAAAGGAAAATAGGGTAATACAAGCCACCCCCCACAACCCTGGATATAAATAACGCAGGTCCAACAACGTCGAATCCAGTCATCGGAGGAACACGGAAGAGAACACTTCGTCCGCTACCACATCGCCTCTGAAGATGTCTACCGCAGCAGTAGCCCGGAAAAAACTTTTTTACCAGATTTGACCGGCCGTGAAAGCCTTCATTCCTTAAAAATTTAATTTTTATAAAAGAAAAAAAAAGTTTTAAAACTCAATAGTTGAAAAAAATCGAAAAAAAAGACTCACTATAAAAAACTGTTAAATATTTTTCTGCAATTTGTTATGTTAAATAGAAATGCAAACTTATTCCTAAAATAAATATTACACATCATTTCATGTGTACAAAAGTTACTTAACTATACAATTAGAAAACTTAATAGTTCTGAATAAACTTCTTCAGATAATAATGTACATACTTATGTTAAATTATAAGCTTTGAGATATAACAATAATAACATTTCAGTAGCTAATAAATTTATTATAAATAATAAACATCATTAAATCATGTAGGTACGCATACAATACCTACAGGGTGCCACAAATTCAATTCTTTAAAAGGGAGGTTATAAAACAAAGTAAGAGAAACAAGGTTGGGGGCAAAATTTGGCATATATTATTTTTTGATTGATAATCTTGGCTCCACTTATTTTCCTTTTCGAAATTTCCAGTTTTTTTTATAAGGATTTTTTAGCGACTAACCGTTTGTAACCGTGTTATAAACGGTAACTGCAAATCTCCGACCTTTGAAATTTTGGCAAGGCACCGGTAATAGGGAAAGTTGTCATGATGTCATTAGGAAAAATCAATGTCGTCACGCATTTATAAAACTGTAAAAAGTTCAGTAACACATGTTGGCACCTGGGTTACTGGAGGTTAAAGGATAATTGAAATTGGAAAAACACTGTTTCGTGGTATTTGTTAATCCAAATTTTGTGGTCCACTGTTTGCCTCGAATGAATTTTCCTTAATTAAAAAAAATACATTTTCATAATGGGAAAAGTGTTTCAGCAAAAGGTTGTAGTCTTGAACCAAATCTTCTGAAAGTATCATTACTAAGGACTAAAGAAGACATCGCTAGTTTTTATTTGAAAAATTTCATGAAACACAAAATATAATTGCAAAAATACAAAGGAAAGATGAATGGTAAAGTAAATAAATAATATTACAAAACCTATCTATAACTTTACGTTTTTATAATTGCTTTCTATAACCGGTTCGTTTTTGTGAGAAAGAGGTTTAATAAAAAAAATTATTAGTTGGGGGAATTTTTAGCAGAACACTAGTGGTGAGGGTTATAACTGTACAGTCATAGCTCATAACATGGTTACAAACGGTTACTCCCTAAAAAATCCTTTTAGAAAATTATGATTTACTTAGAACTAGGCAACTTATAATGCATACGATGCATACATTCAAGAATGTTTACGCCAAACTTGAGCTCAAATATCCAATTACACATATTCCACCAATTAGAACACAACGCAAATAAAAAGTTGATTTTCATTTTAAAATATTCATTCTGTTCCAAAAATATCCAGAAAAAACTGTATTTTGTATAAAGTTTCAATTTTCTCTGCAAAAAATTCTATATTTTAATAAAAATGAGTAAAATTTCAAATCTGACCATTTAGCATTTTCAACAATTTTTTATTAAAAACAAATGGCTTTGAATACCCACTATACCACTGTCATTGAAATAATGTCCAGCAAAGAGAAAAAATATTAGTTTGCATTAAATTGATTTTTAAAGAGTTGGTACGTAAAGTTTACAAAAGAGCATAACTAAATCAATCTACTTTCTCTCAGACATGCGAATTTGTAGCACCATGTATGAGGTTTCGGAAAATATTGCGCCCTGCAAGCAGAACCAAGTAAATGTACAATCATTGTTCGACTTTCAGCAGGATCAACTATCGTAATAGTTTTCAATAATTGATAAACTAGTTAGATTACATGCGATTCAAAAAAGCTCTATGTACATCTAATTTCAAAAAATTACATCTTGTTTAATAAAATCTCTGGTCACTAATTTTTTTATACAGGGTGAACTATTTGAAAAAAGCTCAAGCAGGCCCAATTTTAGTCCTCAAAATTGTATAAAGCAGCAAAAAAAATAGGGCTAGAACTGCATAAAATGCCTTCCTCTAGGCTAAATTTTGCTATGTTAGGCAAGGCGCTTGTGGCAGATTATTTCAAATGAACCAACAGGTACAATCATTATGGCATCTGTTTCGCAAAATTTACAGATGAATTAAATATTTTGGCGAGAACTACGGGGCAATAGTAACCTTCAAGGAGCAAGGCATTTTTGAAATGTATAACCAAAAAATATACAAATTTTTTTTGGCTAGAACATGCTTCATAGAAATGCGCGTGCATTTTATGTATACTTGATACATATACACATAACGCTACCTTCTAGATGTTAGATGGTTTTACTTAGTTTCACTAAAGGTAAACATAATTTATCTGTTTCAGTTTTATCACAATTTTCGTTTTTAGGAGCAACACCCATTGCATGAGATCGGCGCAATACCTTAACAGACCTCGGACTCACAGATTTATCTTTTTCAAATACTAAGGCCCTCTTAGAACGTTTTATGCTGGGGTTTTCTTCGATTTTGACTCTATGTCCATTTTTATATGCCATGGTTGTTTTAAGAAGGTGTCTATCATTCAGTTGTGATTTATTGTTGGATGCCATGATGGGTGTTGCCAACTTTCTTGTAGAGGCCAACTTTCTTGGAGGGGTTTCTTTGGCTTCGTTTCTGTCAAACAAATTTATTGCTAACAATGATACTTTTCAAAGTTTTAAGAAATTAAAAGCATCTCGTGCACTGCTTACCATTATTGGTTCCTAATAGCAAAAATCTATGTGCTACTGAAAAATGAGCTAAGAAACACCAGTCACATGCGAAACAGCACTAAACAATTTTTGATAATATAATGTGTAAAATATTATTGTGAAAATAAAATAGGTAGAAAGAATAACAATCAAGAGATAGGCAACTGTAGAGAAGCAATATGTACTTCCAAAATCTAAGGATTTTAGAGTGAATAAATGATTCGAATATTGCTAAACAAACTAAGAATAAATGCCATATTCAAGATTTTACACATTAATAATTATCATATCATTTCAGCTTGCTACAAAATTAACAAAAAACAAACGTTTCCGCCAAAAAAAAAATGCCAATAAAAAAAAACAAATTCTGTAAAAAACATCCATAAAAGCTACAATTTACAATATACTCAATACCCTAGGACTATAACAGCCACAATGCACCGCAATTCTGAAATTTTGAGTAAAAATATTTACAAAAAGGTAACTTCTGTACTTGACTTATTTACAAAAAAGCAACATTAACTAAAATAATTTCTGCCGTCCTCTCAACATTAGCAAATTGTTACTACCAGTGAGAAGACATTTTTATAATATTGATAGTAAATTTTTTTTTTCTTTTAAATCGTTTCATTCGCAAGTAGATTTTAAAATGCTGTTAGTCTGCTTCAAAATGATGATAAACTAAAGTCTGTCTCAGAATTAAAGATAAAAGTCAAAATGATATTATGTTAGCAATACAATATGTGAAATTGTCAATGCTTTCAAATTTTTCATGTAAAAAAGGCTATGTAGTTACCAAATTTTTGACTTGGCCAATTATCGTTAATAAAAAAAAAGACTTTAGCACAAAAAAAAAAAATCAAGTTTTTAAAACAAAATATGGCCAAAGGCTCATACTGTGATAAGAAACAAGATTTTTGAATCACTCTTTTCTGTACCTTTACAAATGTCACAGTTTGAAATTTTCCAGTGACATTTGACAGGGGTAGGTACACACTTCATATGTCTAAAATTTTAAACTTCCGGATCACGCAGAAGCTAATGCCGAAAACAGAATTTTGAAGAACCAATGTATACAAAAATTGATATATTATTATTTTTGCTTAAATAAGTTAGGGTTATTTTTGACTAGTTAGTAGACCCTAACCTACAATAAAAATTACTAAAAAACATGTTGAAAATACTATATAAATATTTTTTTTAAAAAATGTAAAAAAATTATTTACTTTTGGTCTTGCTTTTGGTATCAAGTCGCAAAATCAGATGTGTCTACTAGAAAATGCTACCAATGAAAATTGGCTAAAAAAAACTAAATTCTAATTTCAAGAGATTGTGACCTTCCATATCCATGCAAATTAAATTAAATATGTAGAAAGACTTGAGAGTGGAAACACAAACCATGCCAGATTCAAGCAAAAAATGTCGTTCAAACCAACCTTTTGGTCGTAACACGACTACTACTTGAACCAGTAATTCTTACTGGAGAGTTAACCACTTTTCCTCTAAGGACTGTTGTGTTGTTGGTTGTCACTGTGGTTGTAGTTATGTGTACCCTTCTTATTTTTTCTCTTTCGAGGCTGGAAAAAGTTGGAGAATGTAATTATTTCCTGAAAATTTTTGAGGTTTGGGGAAAATAAGTTCCTCAAAACAAACATGACGTTTTCAGGAAAAATAAGTAATGAAATGAAATATTTTATTAATCATAAAAATGCATAAAGTAAGAATGAAATTAGGAATAAAGACATAAATTTGTATTTTGTTTTGATCCAATTTAGTGTATTGCAGTTTCGTTAGCTGAAATTTATTGTTTCTGGTTATTTAACTTCTATATTGACATGTGTTAACATTTATATATAAAGGAAAAATAAGCGTTGTGAATGTAAATGCAACTATCAAGAGAAATTGGATGACGATTAAGATATATCTTCAATGATCAATTGGAGAGCACCTTTGATCAAGCTACAGCCAGCGACATTAAAGTAATTATTGGTGATCTGAATGCTAGAGTTGGCCAGGAGCAAATCACAGGTTCATTACTTCTAGTGGCGCAGTTTGTTTATGGGTAGCATTCAACAAGACAGAAGGTTTGATACATTGCTAATTATAACAATTTTTTGTTTTCTGTTTGTTCTTGATATATTTGGTTTTATGCCTTGATATTGGGATTATTGCTGAGAACTAGTTTTTCTGAACCATTGGCTATCTCTACTCTATAGTAGTTAATGAAAGTGTTGATTTAATCAATTTTATATATACTTTTATTGCTGACCAGCAGTTTCTATACATTTTTGGAAGTGAGAGTTATTTCTACTTATTTTTCCAGGGCATGTGGTTAGTTTCTCTAATTGATAGATCAGATAAAACATATTTTACCACTAAATTGTTTAATTTGGACCGAGATTCTGAGCAAGAAATAATCGACGATTATTTTGAAATAATGATAATTAGCAGCGTTATGTAAATAGATAAATTATTAGTTTTGCCATTAAGAGGAACCTCAAATTGGGAGTTGCTAAAAGGTACCCTATCAGGTAAAAACTCTTAGAAAATTAGCACCTCAAAATATGAAGTTCTTCTACTACCACCAATAACTTGCCCCAACTAACTACTTCTATGATTACCAACAAAATTAATTAATCTATGCAGCAGTGTTAGAAAACATTTTTCACTTACGGTGCAGTAACAGCATTGACGGTCTTATTCCTGCTTCTTTGGGCCTTAATTTCATTGAGTTTATCACCTTGAGTTTCTTTTGGTTCTTCAAAACTGGGAGTATCATGCGGATCGTTAATTTCCATGCAGTCAACCTTTTTCACAATTCTCGTAACATTGTCTTGGGACTTTTTTTGATTCACATCTGTGAGACTATAGATACCTTTCGAAAATGTTATTGGTACTACTCCGTATTTTTTGCGATACATATCGCCTTGCTCCCATAATTGCGCTTGTTTCCTTTAGAAAAAAAGATTAAAAAGTATGTTTACTAATATTATGCTTTCAAATTGAGTACTTACTCTTTAAGCCAAGTTTGTTGATGTCCAATAATTGATCCCGGCCGACATATGCGAATCCAAGCAATGCATTCTTCAGCCGTAAATCTCCAATGCTTCATTATGTAACAAGCTATTAATGAGCCAGTTCTCCCAAGGCCAGCTACAAGATAATTTAGCATTAACTTTGGAATCTCAAAATTCTTTTCACAAACCTTTGCAATGAACAGCAATTGCTCCTTTAGCATTCTCACATATTGTCATAAAGTCTTGTAATATTTTATCACTGGGGGTTCCCCCATCAACAAAATATAAATCTCTGTGGTCAAACCCAGCTTGAGTGAATTTAGTAGCGTCATATGCTTTTTTGTTTAATCTTATTATTGTGGTGACTTTATGCCTTCTGAAGTAAGAAAAATAAGTTTCTGGAGAATGAACGGGATACCCAAAGTTAGACACTTTGGTACGACTTTGTGGTCCGCAAAAAGCCAGGAATTTATTAGGGAGGATCCAATTGAAATCGCCATTTTCAACACGTTCATAGTGCTCATATTCTAGAAAATCGAAATTGGCAAAATTAAAAAAACCAAAGAAAGACGCTTTTTCAATGGCTTTTAGGCACTCCAATAAAGAGAGTGTGTAAGCATCTCCAACAGACGCATCACGGAATTCCGTATAGTCACGTTGGGAGCCTTGATTCAGAATTTCATAGGCCTCTAGTGGATCTAAATCCAGATAAATTACCTGGAAACAAAATTTAAATAATAAAATATTCCCTTGTGGTGTGTAAAAAGTAAGCTAAGTATATTGGTAATCTCATAGAGGTAGGTTTTATTGTTTCCAATACATTAAATATGATACCTAGAATTTCAATTTATGCATAGTTTATCACCAATAAAACAAAAATTATTTGTAGGTTCAGTTAACCAGTAATTGACCAGTTAAGGAAATTTTCGTAAATAAAATAAGTACATACTATATTTCTCTTGAGTTTTATTCAATGCTATGAAATACCTAGTATTACACTCCTATTTTAGATAAGACCTGGAGGAGGAATTCATGACCATCCGTCACCTGTGAATGCAGTTTTTGGAATTCGGATGATACAACTTGGAAGAAATCCTGGACATGTTCACACTCACTTAAATGTAGAAGCCTCACATGGATTACATGAAGATCAATATTTACTATCATAAGTTTTTTAACTGGCTTACTAGGGTCTAGTCATCACGTTTGTCAGAAAAATTATTGATTTCATGATCAAAACTAATTCTTTATAAAATATCCAAAAATTGCCAAATTTTTAGAACAGAAGTCCAGGCATCTGATCTTAAAATTTTATGTAGCAAATACATTTTCACAAGAAGCAGAGTATTTCATGAATAAATGATGATTGTTGTTAATCAATAATAATGATTTCGAATGGGGATGTCACATCCAGGTAATGAATTTTTTTGGAAAGGAAATTCACGAGCTCTTTTTTGGACAAAAATTCTTTATTGTCGTTAGATTTTAATTTTCGCCGACGTTTCGGTAATGGGTTTTTACCTTCTTCAGGGCTGGAACAATTAAAATACAAATAACAAAACACGAAAAAAAAAAAAAATAAAAAGAAAAAGAGTACAAGAATTATTGGGATAAAATCAACCATCTGGTGAGCGAAAGACGAAAGTGCAAGTTCTTACCTCAATTACATAACGACATAGTCAAAGTTGATGGTGGGTTGATTATTAACATTTTTTCAACTGAAAAAACAATGTTACATAGAGATAACAAGAGATACTCTTCTGAAGAAGGTAAAACCCATTACCGAAACGTCGGCGAAAATTAAAATCTAACGACAATAAAGAAATTTTTGTCCAAAAAAGAGCTCGTGAATTTCCTTTCCAAAAAAATAATGATTTCATAATTATTTATAACAAAATTGTTTTCCATTATCAACTCCATTCACAGAAACTCTGTACATAAACTATTACCAAAATCCAGTTTATAACTATGAAAAATTAAGTGATTTATATTTTCTTTCAGACAGTGTTTATTTTCAATAATAGAGTACATACATATACTAGTAAAGATTGCATTGTTTTACTATTCTATATACTTAAACTATTATTCTTTACAGTTGAATTTAAATGTGTATGCCTAACCCTCTCTGAAATAAATTTTAAAAAAATATCCCACAGTTTACGACGACGTTAAAAAATCATAATTTTGTTAAAGGTGATTTACATAAATGATCATCATTATATTTAGAAATAAACATCATAAAAATTGCGTCACTGCTGCAATGCAACTATAAAATATGAGGCATAAGTATGCATACTAACTAGGACAGTTTATTATCCACTGATAAATTTACCAGTTAGATCATTCACAAGGATACAACGGTATCTAAAGGTACTTATCCTGCGGATGGATTATGGAAATGCTTTCTTCATAAATTAACTTCCCTAATCTGTCATCAAAATTTCAAATCAAAAGTCACTTGGTCAATATTTCCAGGATACATAGTAGTTTTATGCTGTGAAATAACATTCTACACCTCATCAATTGAATTAAAATAGCAATTTTAGGTATCTTTCCTAGAAGCTGTTTCTATGCCATTTTCAGTCTGAAATCTACTTTACAATGTATATATTTCTACTAGAATGAGAAAAATGCAGACAATTCAATCTATTTATATAAATTATCTATAGGTAAGTACTACTGATATCACAATATTTAATGGGCATACTGGGTGACGTATTCCCGCCAATAAAATACTAGCTGCTAATTGGTTGAAAGTTACGAGGCAAGGTACTCTCTCCACCAATCCTGTTTAGACATCTTTTAAGCGTGAAACACTATAAATAATATAGGTTTTTAATTAGGGGATATGGGGACTTTGCTGTCGGCATTTAATCGGTAAATTGGTCAATAGCTGGGCGATGGTCAATTACTAGGCAACAGGCGATGTTCAATTACTGGGCGATGGTCAATTACTGGGTGATGGTTAATTATTGCTTAACTGACCGTAAATATTTATCATTGAAATAAAAAGACCATTGTCTTTTGGATTTTCTTGTTAAAATATACAAGGATCACAAGCTGTTTTTGAAAATGATAGCTTAAGTTTCAAGAAACAAACAATTTCCAACTTTTGCAACCTTATTAAAAAAAAAAAAAAAAACAAATGTGTTTGTGGACTTTTTAAAAACATTTTGCTTGCTTCTGGGCAATACAAAATTCAAAACAGTTGTTGGTTGTTGGATGGAATATATCCTGTATATGAAAAATTAAATTTCCCATTTTTATGCATGTAATCAAATATGTTTCTTTAAAAATTCCAAATTTTTTTCTGTTTCCATTTGAAGCAGATTTAATTATCCACATTGAAGAATGAGATTTATGTTTTATAAACTAAACACAACCTAATTAATCTTTTAATCTGATGTTGAATACTTACTGAATATGCTCCAATCAAAAAAGCAGCATTAACCCTTTTTTGAACGTCAGGCCCAGTGCAATGTACAATTTTTTTCTTGGCAAATGCAGGATTACTAAGCTTCCTTTTTAGCTGGACTGAATAATGGTAAAGCATAGCCAAGTTGAGAGGGCCAAAATCCAAGTAAAAACTGTCATAGCTAAGCTCATTGTCAATTGAAAAGTAATGGACAGTTGGTGTGGATTTTGGTTTGATGCTGGTATTTAGGGACACAAAGAAAAGGCGGCCTAAAAAAAGAATAATAAATAAGATGTCGAGGAATACACTGTGCCCATTTTACGGAACAACAAAAAAATAAAACAAGACACAGATTAAACCTCGGATTTAACACAGGAATAAGTTTTCATTCCCATAATTATGAGCTGCCACAAACTACAATTTCTTTATTTTTTTTTTATTGAGTATAGTTGATACCTATTATACTTGGAGATTTGCATGCTTGCAAGCACGACATTTCCAACACAACTCACAACTTTGCAGGGTTTTCATAACTATTATTTCAGTATGTCGCCTATAATGCAATATAAATGTTGTAAAAATAAAACATGTCACATTTTAAGCTGCATACAGTGCCACAGCATATGGCATGGTAGCTGTTTAGAAAGAAAAATAGGAAACTTGGAATCTCGAAAAGCACTTTGTTCTAAAAATTGTGAGAAGGCATATGGGGAACAAGTAGAAACAGAAGATAAACTTGGTAAAGAAATAGAACAATTAAGAACGAAGTTGACGAACAAAGAAAAACAAATTGAAATACTCAGGTATGAGGCAGAAGAAAGAGCTGACGAACTGTTGAAAGAAATTGAATCTTTAACTAAGCAAAACAAAGAAAAAGATGTGTTCATCCAGACACAAAGGAGGCAATCAAGGGACTTAAAAGACATTGCAGAGACTTCTGAAGAAGGACTTTTAAAGGAAATTAATAACCGAGAGGCAGCCATTGTGAAATTGAATAAAGAATTGTTAAAGTTTCAACAGAAATGTGCAGATATGGAGAAAAAGATTTGTATTTTAAAAGAACAGAATAAGAAAGTACAACTGAATATTGAAGAATTCGAAAATACAAAAACTGCAATGCCGACCTCAATTGAGGTACTCAATGAGGACAACAAATTATTGACATCGACCTTGAAAAAGGCTAATTATGAACGGTTCGATTTGAGAGATAAAGTCTGTCCACTAAAATCACCTGTGGAAGTCCCTCAAATAGACGTAATAGCGGACAAAAACCTTAAAGGTACATATAATGTGAGAATGAGATTTGAGAAAAATAAAATGTTAATTCTAGGAGACAGTAATGTAGTAGGTTTCACACAGATTCTAACAAAAAATATGGGAGACAAATACGAGATTTTTTCTTTTGTGAAACATAATGCGCTATTAGATAATGTTATTGAAAATGTAAGTGTTTTAACTAATGATTTCTCCAAGAATGATATAGTAATAATAATGGGTGGTTTAAAGAATTGTTTGAATGGTAAAAGAATCACTGAGTGTACTAAAAACAAATTGAGGGGAGTTAGCTTGACCACGAACGTCATATATTTGTCAGTTCCACTATGGAATAATGGACAGGTACTCAATAAATTTATCACTGAGTTTAACAAAAGTATACAGGGTGTCACGAAAGGTTTGTTACAAACTTCTAGGGATGCTAGATCTTGTAAAAATAAAGCCTTTTTCTTAATAAACATGTGTCCGGCAATGCTTCGTTTTCCAGATATACAGGGTGTAAAACTTTGTGGAAAAAAATCAATTTTTACAATAATTCTCAGAAGTGCGAGCGTTTTAGAATAAAAGTTTTTTGTTTTTTTTTGTTTATTTTCAAGCAACAAATAGCCTAATAAAATTTTAGGAAATTCTGTGGCAATTTATTTTTTATTTATGGAGGTCAGTGACGTTCGTGGTTCGCCTGAAATGCTTTTCATATTTTATCTCGAAACAAAGCAGCATACGGAAAAAAAACGAACAGACAAAAAAGCTATATCTTTAAGTGTTCTATTCAAAAAACATATCCTAATCAAAAATTAATCTACTGGACGATGTTTTTCATGCAAAAAACCATCCGACAGAACCTGTGGCACGTCCCTGGAATAACAAACTATGAAAATTTCATTTAATTCGTCTAACGCATTTCTAAGAATTAATAAAAAAATTGGCTTTTTTTTACAAAGTTTAACACCCTGTATCTGGAAAGCGGAGCATTTTCGGACATATGTTTATTGAAAAAAAAGCTCAATTTTTACGAGATCTACCATCCCTATAAGTTTGTAACAAACCTTTCGTGACACCCTGTATATTATGATGTACAATTAAGTAAGATGAGTATGTTTATGTTTTTTAATGTTAATTCTCTTCTGAACACTGATTGTATTAATTATCACAGAAATGGTATGCAGATGCGACATCCTGCAAAACTTAAAATATTGGACTAACTAAAGGATTTTATTTTTTTTAAAAATTGTCACAGAGAACAAAAGGATGTTACGATAGCGCCTTCCAATGTTTCAAATGAAAATAATTTTTTACGGATGTAAAAAACTCTGTTTTGTTTTTAAATTCTCAAAGCCTGCTTGCTAAATTTGAAGAAATATCAAGGACTATTTTTAGTTCGAAACCGTTAGCAGTTTGTTTGACAGAAACTAGAATAATAGCTGATATTAGGAATAACGAGATATTTATTAGTGGTTACCCAATTGTTAGATGTGATAGTCACAGCAGACACACAGGAGGTTTTTTATTCTATGTCAGAAATGATATCCAGATTTTTTAAAAGGAGGTGTTTGTGCTAGGTAAAAATTATTGGCTGTCACCGATTGACATATCAATCCAAAAAAAGTACTATACTCTTGTAGGTATTTATCATTCTCCAAGTAGTAGTGACGCAGAATTCGTAGATAGTTTCAATAGCTGGTGTCTCCAAAGTTCTAACTTCTCTAAGCATAAACTCATTTTGGGCGATTTTAATATTAACTGGCTGCAAGCTAATACATATAAAGTGAGATTAGAAAAAACTATGGCTGATTTAGGATTTATTCAGACAGTTGACAATATCACTCACCCTAGGGACTTGGGAGGTAGTATAATTGATTTGGCGTTCTGTAACTTTGAGATAATTGATGGTAGGGTTAATGTTATTGAAACACCGATGATAACAGATCACTGTATAGTCAAAATTGGTCTACATATGCACCAGAGAAGTAATATAACGAGTGACAGGCAAATTATTTCCCGTGGTAAAATAGACTATGACGAAATGAATCGGAAACTTTCTTTAGTAGAGTGGCGGTATTTGGTTGCAGGTGTGGACGACAAATACGACGCATTTTTTTCGACCATATTGAGTGCAAATCAAGTTGCACCCAGAAAAAATATAGTAATCAAAGCTAGATATAAAGAGTGGTGGAATGACAGGGTAAGTGAGGCGATAAATCAAAGGGACCAAGCCTATAAATATTAATTAATATATTATTTATTTTATAACTGTGCCAAATTTGTCAAATTTGTTTATTTGTCTGTTTGTCTTATATAAATAACTGTTAAACTTTTTAAAACTTATTTGATTGTTTCAAAGTGATGTAATATAGATCTAGATTTGAGTGTTTTATTATTTTAAATTTTTTTGTAATATTGATGTACTGATTGATATATATTTTTTTGACTTGTGTAAGCACTATGTTTGTGTAATAGCATCAATATAGAATTTGAATTTGAATTTGAATTATTACAAACAAAATAGATCCGACGATAATAAGACAATTTACGAGCAACATCGAAATAGAGCTGTACAAGTTACTCGCGAGGAGAAGAAGAAATATTTTGAAATTAAGATAGACGGTTGCAAAAATAATACAAAAAGAATGGGGGAAACATTAAAACCTTTGTTATCAGAGAAAAAAGACAACAAATTAACAGAACTAGAAATAAACAATGAAATTATATCTGACCCACAACTACTATGTAATAGTCTCAATAAATTTTATGTCAGTAGCATCGACGAAATAATATCAGAGATTGATACAACCAGCACAACAGAATGCTCGACGAAATGTTTACAAAAAATAGCAATAGCAATCTACTAACACATTTTGTCATGATATCGTCTGTAGAATTGGAAAAAGTTGTTTTTGATAACCTAACAAAAGTAGCCCTGATGAATTTTCAGCAGAATTTATGAAAAACATATATAAAAGTATCGAAAACCCTCTCTTGAATTTAGTTAACCATTCACTAGAAACTGGTACTGTACCGTCAGCATTAAAAATTTCCACGGTTATACCTATACCAAAAGTCAATGACGTTTCAACAGCAAGTGATTTAAGACCAATCAACATGTTAGCAACGGTCGAAAAAATTATCGAAAATATTGTTTATGAGCAATTGGTTGACTATATCTAAAAAAATAATATTTTGTACATAAACCAGTCGGGTTTCAGAAAGGCACATAGTTGCGAAACTGCTGTTCAGAATGTTTTGCATGAATGGAAGAATGAGCAAGATAAAAATCTAATGATTGGAGCAGTATTTTTAGACTTTCAGCGTGCCTTTGAGACGATTGATAGGGATAGGTTGTTGATCAAGTTAGAAAAGTACAATGTTAGCGGCCTAGCTTTGGAATGGCTCTGTAATTACTTACATAATAGAAAGCAAGTTACATGTGTTAATAAAACAACCTCCTTAGAGATTTTAAATAACAATGGTGTTCCACAAGGAAGTACCCTAGGACCACTACTATTCCTGTTATACATTAACGATATTGCTTCTACAATTAAAAGCTGCAACAACCATCTGTTTGCTGATGACACCTTACTGTATTTCTGTTCAGATAATTTAAAAAACCTAATTGACACCATCAACACAGAACTGCAAAATATACTACTATGGTGCACTGGAAATCTTCTTAAATCAAATGCAGCAAAAACTAAATGTATGCTTGTTGGTAATAACCAACAGTATAATATGTTTAAGTTACAATATAAAATAGTGATTGCCAATACTGAAATAGAAATTGTTGATAAAATAAAGTATCTTGGAGTTATAATTGACAGGAATTTAACATTTAGGGAACATGTGTCATACATATGTGATAAAATCTCCAGAAACACCAACTTTTTTGCTGGAATTGCTCCATCTTTAACCAAGTGGTCTTGAAAAGTGGTATATAATGTACTGATTTTGCCTCATCTTACTTTTGCGTCTACCATCCTGTTTACGGCAAATAAAAATGAGAAAGACAGATTGCAGAAATTACAAAACAAGGCCATGCGAATAATCTTGTGTGTACCTAGGGACACATCAATTAGACACATGCTTCACTCATTAAATTGGCTGTCAGTGGAACAGTATTTGGAATACCAAACTCTGATTCTCATAAATAAAATGAAAAATTCTTTAGCTCCATCGTATTTGTCCTCCTAACTTATATACAGTAACAACGTTCACAAGTATAATACACAGTCACAGAATAATTTGCATGTGACCAAAAAAAATAAAAAGGCTACAGAAAGGGTACTATTTCATAATGGTTTAATATTGTATAATAAATTACCTGATTCAATAAAAAGATGCGGTACTGTAATTACCTTTAAAAATAACCTCAGGAAAAGACTATTTGACAAGTCTCACTAGGTAGCAGAGCTGGGAGTAACGATTAAAAAAAGTTACTTTACTTTAACGAGTTACTGAAAGTAACGCGTTACTTGGTAACTTCGTTACTTTTCAGATTGATTGATAAGTAACTGTAACGACGTTACTTTCCTGAAGTAACGCGTTACTAGTTACTATGAAAGTAACTCGTTCTCTGAATTTGTTTAGCTTCTTTACAAATAATTGACGAGTGAGGAAAAGGAAAATAAGTAATCCAAAAACTTTGTACGTCAAATAAAATGTTGGTAGTACAGAAAATTTCTTTTGAAAGCTCAAAATAATCGTTTTTGGGCGTACCACGCGCCGCCTCTGCTCTAAGGACACTATATGCAGACACTGGGACACTTCAAAGAGCAGGTTTGTCCAAAATCAAGTGCTCTATTCAGTCGCTTAATCCTTAATCCGTTTGAATTTTGCAAAAATACTCTTCCACATAGTCGGACTCACAAACTAAAAACATATTGGCATTTCGTATAGGTCTTATTTGATTGTTTGGACTGCTGTGTTAGTGAGTCAAATTAAGGAATAACGCAATTTTCGACGTAAATAGTTATTTTTGAAGTAACGCGTTACTTTAATAGTAACGAACTACTTTTAAAGTAAAGAAGTTACTTTCAAAGTAACGAAGTTACAGTAACGTGTTACTTTACAATAAGTAACGAAAATAAAGTTATCATTATTCGAAAGTAACTGTAAATTTTAAGTAACGAGTTATTTTCAAGCAAAAGTAACTGTAAAGTAACGCGTTACTTTTTTCAAGTAACGATCCCAGCTCTGCTAGGTAGACAATATTTATCATGTAATGATCGAATGTATGTACGTGAGTTGTTTTTTTATTTATTTTATTTTTTTTGTTTTTATACAGGGTGTGTTAATTTTAATTTCACAATTTACAAGTATTGTGTAGTAAGTAATAAGAATTGCAATTTTCATAGTGTATGTATATTGTGTATGTCTGTAAATTTTGTGAATTAGCTGTTTTTTGCTAAATAAAGATCTATTATTATTATTATTATTATACACATTATTAATAGAAACTTAAAAATAAATGCTATGGCGGCGAGATCAATCGTTAGTTAAGTCCTTAGATATACTACCTTGTAAGTTGAACCACTGAGTGAATATGCATCATCTGAGATAATTTTTTTTTTACATAACAAAGAGTTGACATTTTAACATGTAAAAACCGAGTTTATCCGATGGTGAAACCACATCGAACGCTTCCTTTAAATCCAATAACCATGTTTTTTTTTTCTCCAGTTTCTTAGATACCTAATTCACAAAGTCAAATTTAGCTGTTGCTGTTTTTAATGAAACCGGACATTTACCTGATATAATTTTTAAAACATATTGTTAACACATAAACTTTATACCTAATAAAAATAAAAATAGATCACTATCATTCTCACAAATTGTTTTATTGCGTTACAAAAAAAGAGTGCTTCTATTGGAAAACCCTATACTTAGTTTCTTCAACTTCAGCTTCATTTGTTCATTCTACTTCTGATATGTTTGTATTACACATTATGTACTTTCCTGTATACATTTACATTATCAATCATGAAAAATGATAATTTAAATTACATATTTACAATATCTATTCTCTGCTTGACTGCTTGTCCATTTACAGATAAGAAATCAATATTGTTATTTTGTGTATTAAAAAACTTATTTATAAACACCCATTGCCTCGCCCAATAGTTCTTTTCACGTGGCTCCGGCTTAACTAACCGGGTTACAAAACGGTTAGAGAAATGACATACCGTTTTCTAACCCGGTTACAAAGTGACGTGATGGATACCTACCACTCGAATTTGAGCGGTGGGGGTGTGCGCCAAAAATTAAAGTTTTCGTGTAAAAAAATCTGAGAATAACTGTTCAAACCTCGTTATTCTACGATAAACTATCGCTGAGATATACCGCTTCAAAGTGTGGACGACGCTCTCGTGACGTCACGAGAACTTCGTCCAGCCGCCCTCCGCATTGTTAATTTGATTGTTCCTGGCACTAGTGAGTGGTTTTTGTTTAGATTATTGCAGGTAACACAGGTAAATTTACCTAACTCCACTTTCTCGTGCGTCACTTGAGCTTTCGTGACGTCATAGGGTGAGATGTGGTACCTTCATAGAGCCATATCTGCGGTATTATTTGTCATAGAAGGGTGCGGATTTCACTGTTATTCTTAGTTTTTTTTTCTCTTTTTTTTGAGATGAAGTTGTTTTTTTGGCGCACACCCCCATTAAACAGGAGCCACGTGAAAAGGGTTATTGCTTTTTTGCATTATTTCTGGTATAGTCTCACTGTGAGCTAAAATATCAGTTTTTCTTGCACTTTAATTATATTATTCAGTTGATTTGTTAATCTATTAAACTCAAGTAAATACTGGCCGCGTTGCGTTTGGAAAATAGCTCCAAGAGCATATCGATGAAAATGTTGACAGTTGTCACGTGTAACAAAATCTGTCTCGTCTGCGATGTCATGTCCGAGCACGCCTCCTGATGACTATTTGGATATTTTATTTTCCTTGGATAAGCACTATAATGCAATTTTATTAAATTTAAAATATCTTGATTCATCCAATCATTGCCTTTTTTTTGTAAGCTTTAACTATACTGACAAGCCTTTTTTGAATGTGCCATTATATCAATTAATTATTCAGATGAGGAGATAGGAAGACTATTTTTTTGTTGCTTGAAATTTGAATCAATAAACTTACTACTTACATCTATCTGTGGTTTATAATTTAGTAAAAAATCTTGATGTCTTTCACTTGTAGGTATTCCTCGAGGTATTCATAGTAATAAAAATCTAAGTCGTTAAAAAGTGAAGAATGTTGTCTACTCACTTGTCTAGGTATAGCCTTCACAGACTTTACAAAAACATAGAGTGGGCGGTGTGGGTACCTAATCGACTCAAATTATTTTCCTCAATAATTGCACCACTTCATACATATCAATGTTAATCTAATAGGATAGTACATGATTGTTGTATTGAAACAGTTTAAAATTGAAAAGAGTACCTACAATACCAATTCGAGCACAACTGCAACTCCTTCCATTAAAAGATACATCAACAAGTGTAAAAATATCCTGTGGTTGTTTATTGTTTTCAATTTAAATTAAATATAACTAAGGTGTAAAGCTATTGACTCACCTTGAATGAATTCTGAAGCATTCAGAAGCACATTATCAAAAGCACTTTCCATGTTTAACAAGCCTTTTCTCTTTCTTTTCAGTTTTGAACTGAAAAATTACGTTTTATTATTTACAATGGCTATGCATGTATATGTTAACTCATTACCATATACATAAAAGTCTGTTGGCTGTTGATCAAACACCTAACCTCTAATCCCACTTAATTTATAATAAGTATGAATCTGATTTAAGTGTAGGTGTTGAAAAAAATTACATCTGTAGGACTGATCTTCACTATTAAAATATCCATTACAAATTGGAAATGTTCAGTTTAGATGCTTTGTGAAACAAAGTAACATTGTTTTTTCCATATATATCTACAATATTTATGTTTTTTTGTTAGAATAAACATTATGAAAAGGTTTTGTTTACTACCTACCTTGCATTCAAAATTACGTGAGGGACATCATTGGGAACATGACAAAATTTGCATTTTATGTTTCATAATTTACCTATTTCTTTTGTAGTTATCTAGGTAGGGGATTTACTACAAATATAATTTTAAATAACTGTATCTCAATGTTAATGAAAAACGCTACACCAGCCACCGTTCACCGATTATTTTAATTGATAAAGATGGCTGAAACGAACCGAACACCGAACGAACTAATCCAACAACCAAACAAGTTGTTAAATGATCATGAGCAAAACAATGAAGTCAAATCCACATGAATACGGAAACGTGATCACGGATACGGATACGTTACTCATGACGGTTATAACAGGACCGCATTCAGACTTTTTTCTGTTGTTAATGGCTGCGTTCACCAGAACCAAAACGGGTTGTGAACAGTTTACAAATACCAACAGAATAGGTCTGTTTCTGCAGAAATCACAAACCAGTCAGAGCAAATTTCATTGGTTGCAACTAGTTTTCTGTTTGTTTTCAACCAATGAAATTTGCTGACTGATTTTTGATTTCTGCAGAAACAGACCTAATACGTTGGGTAAACTCTTGGTTCTGCTACGATTCAACTTTTCAAAATGATAGAAAGAACTTCATCCTCTGAATGTCATGTCACCACACAAAACACAAAGGCTGAGTTCGGCTTTACACTCTGTAAACTCTGAGCGCGCTCGAAACGATAAGATCCTGTTCGTTTTAGCTCAGAGTGTTATTTTTTGCGTTGTGCTTATGACTGCGTAAAGCCTAGTACTCATAACTGCGAAATTCGCACTTTTTTGACATTGCTTCGACAATTTGACGTTTGATTCACGCATAAAACGTCAATTTGTCGAAGCAATGTCAAAAAAATGCGAATTTCGCAGTTATGAGTACTAGGCTTTTAGACGTCAAGATATCCATGATCATGCCGTTCCGCTCCGGGGAGTGCAAAGCCGAACTCAGCCAAAAGGCGTTTTCGCGTCTTAGAGAATAAAACATTTTCCAAAACTGGTTTAAAATAGTTTCACAATGACGTCATGGCTTCATCGCGAGAATATACTAATTCAAACCTGTTTTGAACCAGTTTCAAAAGAAGTGAACGCGAGAAAACAGCTAAAGTGTTGAAAATTATAAAGACTCTTATAGCGTATTTCATTGGTAGAGCAAGTGCAACACTGGTGCAATATTCGTGATCCATTGGCAGAGTCCGTGGTGCACTTTTGTATTTCATTGGGAAAGCAATGCACTGGTTGTATTCCTTTCAAGAGTTTGGAACACTCGAGCTACTCGCTCAAGTGTTAATCGACCCCGATTTTTAAGGGAGAGATGCGGGGTGCGAACATTTTTCGAAAGGAATAATCGCGTAACGCCCCGGAGCTGTCCGGAGCTCCTCCTAGGTGTGAAAGGAATACAACTAATAGGCCCCTTGCATAAAATTTTTTATTGCTGATTTCGATAGTCCATGAAAAATAAGTCAACACGTGTTTTTTCTTTTTCTTTTTAGTCAAAAATTGACGGAGATACAACGCTTTGAAATGTCCTTCCGACGTCATAACTTAGGTATAATACGTTGTGAGTTGTGACGTCGCACATGCTCGGTATATCTATATATAAAAAACTTTATATTTGTATAACTTCCGGAATAATCATATTTGGGTGAAATTAAAAAAAAGTAACAATTTTTTTTCGATTTCCTATAGTTTGCAATAAACAATAATCAATTTAATTTTCCATGCAAGTACCCTATTGGTCACAGTTGAGTTCTGGTGAACGTACCCGTGAGGTTGTGCATCAGGGGGCAGGGGAGAGGTAGGTTGCGTTCCAAGCTCATTGGAAAATGGAACACAATTTTTACGCGTTTGTCAACGCAAATGCTCGATTGCGTGCATAAAATGGCCAGCTGGAAAGCGGCTCAGACCATAAACACATTTACGTCAACATCGTCAATCCGTGATCTGACGTAACATTAAGCTTCGTACCACAGTTTTTCGTACAGACTTGAACATTACGCCGAACAACAAACAGAGCAAGGGACCGAACGACAATCGAAACAAATTTGGACAGAGCTACGAACGGCCAGGAATTGCGAACCGGTTTGGTTAAAGAACTTATATCTCGAGAACGCTTGGACCTATTTTTATGATTCTTGCTTTGTTGGATTTGTCTTTGCGCCGAATAACATATAACAGCTACTGGAACATTGAAACAGAAAAGACATCTCGAGAATAAATTTATGACGAAAATTCATTAATGACCGTTTGCACCGACCTTAGCGATAACTATTCCTTAAAATGACATTTTTACATGGAGAAATTTCACTTTAATCTGCATACGGCGCCATTGCTGATAACCGATTCAACCGATCCAAAGTTCGCTGCGTTAGATTGTGCGGTCGTCCTTCCACGTAGATTTTGCGAATCAACTTCATTGTAGTGGTACTAGCCCTGTTGCTGACGTCATCAGATTTTCCGTCAGCTATTTGCGCAAGCGGCCGTAGTTTAGAATATAACTTTTAATGGAATATTAGCTTTGTTCCAACCCAGCAGGAAACCGTAATATTAACTAATTTTTGCGTAGTTTTGATTGGTTCTTTGAAATCCTATATATTCATTATGAGGAAGCATATGGCAGCGGGACCCCGCTATAGGGCAATCCAATCGAAATGGCGGTCGATGCCAGGTGACAAGCAATGAAATTGGCGCCATAAATTTAATTAAAACATCCGTGACATTTTTTATCTAAACACTGTTTTTTTGTGTATTTTGTGGTATTTCAAGGTGGTTTTTAGTGCTTGGAAGGATAATTTTCGTATTTTAAGATAGAGTTTGTATTTTAAGAAGTTATTAGTGGAAAACCCGGATGCTAGCAAAAGGTATGATTTCTTTGTGATAAACCTTTTCGTACTAAACAATAGACCTATTTATTTTACCAGACAAATAGGTAATAATACGAAAACTTTATTAGATAAAAAAAGACACAGAACGCTCGTGGCGCAAAACGAGGCAAAACGTACCGAATTATAGAGTTAGTTAACCAAATTATGTTGGACTTACTTATAGCAATCTGTCCTTCTTATTTGAACGGGATAAATAAAGGATAAGGAGAAAGACCTGGTGAGGAATTCTCAATCGTAAAATTGATACGTAACGTCCCGACTCCTTGTAGAAAGGCAATGGGAAGTCGATAGGTTGCGACTAGAAGTTGAGAATCGGGGGGCGCGTGTGGTGCAACGTACTTGACAATGAAAATTTCAAACAACTTTTGAATGTCATTTGTCAAGCTATGTTAAGTTGAATATCAACCATATTATTAATTGTATTCCTTTCATACCTAGGAGAAGCCCCGGAACAGCTCCGGGGCTTTACGTGCTCATTCCTTTCGAAAAGTGTTTGTTGCACCCAATGAACTATAACCAAAAACTGGAATGCTAACACATAAGGACGAACTTGAAGCCTAGTGCGGCTGCTGCGGAGGGGATACCTGTTTTTGTCGCACTCATTATGTTAAATGGCGGAAATTGCTTCCAACACGTATTCCAATTGATGAAACCTGTGAAGGGAAATATGACAAAACTTTCGAAAACGTCATATGTCAGCGAGCAACAGAAAAAAACAACATTCCTCCTTGTGGCATCTGTCTTTCATGGCTTCATTTTTGTGGCAGATATGGCAATGTGTGCGCATTCCAGTTTTTAGCTATAGTTCATTGGTTGCACCTGAGTACTCAAGCCCGACTCAAACCATTTAAATGCATGAAAGCCAGCGCACCTGTTCCTTTTAAATCGGGAAATCGGGGTCGACTAACACCGGAGCGAGTAGCTCTAGTGTTTCAAACTCTTGAAAGGAATAGAAGTATTTTTATTCTTGTCAGACCACGGGCAATGAACAAGGATACCTCACACCTTGGCCCGGATTCCAATTGACAATACGATATCGGACTAGGCGCGTTCGGTCTCGATTTCTTATTTGGTATGTATACGAAAGCGATTCGATTTCATGATCTCGATAGCAAATGGAATCCCCTCTGTACTAGTTAGCCAATAAAAAGGCATTGCCTCGTGTTGCGTGCGCATACCAGGTAAACATAGATAAGATAGGGCTATTAGGTAGGTACTATGTACTATCCAGGATTTCTTTCATGTTTGGTTTTTTCTCAATCAAATCCTGAATCCTGGATGTTTATTTTATTTGTCTGCTATTCAAGGTATCGACACAAGTTGAGGATAGTAATGGCCGTTTCCATCAACTATTTTAGGGAAGCCTTGAAGGGGGTGTGACCCTAAAAAACCACTTAAGCTACTTAAATCAAGAAAAAAAATCTAATTAAGATCTCTCGTGAAAACCGCAGTCCTATATTCAAAATAGTCTCCGAGAAAATTCCTTTTGACGATAAATTATGCAGGATTTTGTGATGTCACAACCACCGAAATCGCAGTATTCTGTTCGTTCAGTCGTCAGTGAACTGTACCATATACTTTGAGTGGTTGCAATTCGCGCTAGGAGATAATTGTCTTTTGTTCGGGAAATTCTTACACGTGTTAATACTGTCCCTGATAATCCAGTGTGACGTCACAAACGCCTAGTTGTAAATTTGAACCGCCCTAACTCGAAAACGGACCATCGTAGCAAGATGCGGTTTAAATATTTATTCTTAGATTTTTTTGCAGTAAAACTTTCGTTTTTGGGTCACACCCCCTTTAACGATAAGTATTCCCTTAACTGACAGTTTTCCATGGAAAAATGTCAGCTTAGGGAATACTTATCGTTAAGGATTCCCTAAAATAGTTGGTGGAAACGGCCATAAATGGCTGGATCCATACACCGTTTATGTGGAGAGACTTTATTGGTTTTTTAACATGGATAATGTCAGATTTTTTCGCCTTTGCTGCAATCCATGAAGCCCTACAAAGTACAGACAAATCGATTTTCTCCGTTACAAACCTGTGTTTTGCATCTGCAGCAACGGCATGAAACGAGAATTTCTCGCGATTAGAACGGCTCTCACAACCAGTGGAGTAACTACAGGGGGGCCTAGGGGGCCGCCCCCCCCCCCAGACGTCGCCAGCCCCCCCCCCCCCCCCCAGAAAAAACTTCAATAATTTGGTATTTCATAAAAGCTACGCTACCTACTATAATTTTATGTTATTACCTACTAAATTTCGACGGTAATGCGCGGCGATCCCGATCGACCCTATCCGATTCACCAACGAACGGTGCTGTGTGCCATTCTGCCACCCCAAGGTCAGTGCAAAGTGCAATGTGCAGAAGTGATACAGTATACCAAAGCAAAGTC